CTCCAAGGACAAGAAGAGAGACGACTATGAGTCCATAAAGGACTTTAAGTTGTTGCTTCTTTATCCTCCAAGGATGAAGATTTATTTTATATATGCACTACTTGATTATTATGTTTTAAAATATTCAACCTTATCCAATAAGGTTAATGTTTATCTTTAAAACATTTATCCTTATTCAATAAGGTTGATGTTTATCCTCCCATCAAAATTATCTTAAGGCTTTTAATTAAACATAATGGGCCAAAACTATTTTAGCTCAATTAATTTACTTGGACTATTCGGATAAATATTCTTATATTATTTTGACAAGGTCTATCTTAGGAAATAATTTTTCAAAATACTAATTAACCTAAATTTGGAAACTCCTTTCCTTTTAGGCTCTTTATTTTCAAATTTGAAACTAACTTCTAAATTAGGAAATCGATTTACGAAATAGGAAACTTTCTATTTTGGAAACTCTTTTCAATATAGGAAATTTTTATAATTGAAAACTTTTTCCAATGTCGTTGCTTCTCATTTATAATGTAAATACTTAAACTTATGTGTGTGACTCAATAGGCTCCTAGATATGTTGGCAATGTATCCATAATAAAATACCCCTCTTTTATCTCTTGATACATAAATCAAGATTGGCATCTAGTTAGACATCATGACTATCCAATTCTCTAGGAGGATTAGTTAATCCATTATTATCTTTCATGAGCATGGTTACCATATAATTCATTCCTCATGTCAACTTATCATAGTATGATCTCGAACTTGGTTATTAGTCTTGTTCGATTATGATCACATAAGTTTTTTTTATTCCCAAATGTCTTAGCTCTTAGAGTAAACCAACTATGCTCTATTGGTGTACTCCTACCGTAGTCACAGATTTCTTAAGCGAGACATTTATCGAAGTTCAATGTGATAACTCCTTTAGCATACAAGGAATGACATGTCTTATCTTAGTTATACATCTATCTCCATTGGATTCCTAGTGCACCCAATGAATTGTCCACGTGCAACCCATTAATGGATCCATTAAAACGATTGTCAAAGTGCATAAGTCCTTCAATGAGATAACCGTCACGGTTTTAAGTCTAAGGACCATTTGTACCCATCTTGTATGAGATTTCCATAGACTAAAACCAAATGGGTTCTCATGGCGAGTCAAGTCCAATGATATGTTATCTAACATATATCACCTAAGCACTTGTAACGCCCCCACCCTGATCATATTTCTACTACCTAAGTAGAGTACTAGACGAAGCGCGTTACGCCGACATACCCTAAACTCTAAGTAGTTCTCTTATGATATTCTTAAAACTTTAACAACACATTACGTATATAACTCCTTAAGATAAAATTTACATCATATAATTAAATACATTAATAAAATATTACACGTAATATTCAATTTCTCATGAACTCCATACCCCAAATTTATAAAAAAAATAAAAACTAATAAATGGTGCCTCACATAAGCCGGTAAGGAGGAGCCGACCGCATCCGTACCAACTCGTCCTTTTTCCGTCAAGACATAAAAAAAATAACAACGAGGTGAGTCGAAGCTCAATAAGCGGGGTGATGCACGTGATATGCAATGTTGTTTTGACTTCCCATCATACTCATAAATTTAAATCTCGGGTACCACAGGTATTAGCCGATCTACTCTATTTATCATCCGGGTGGTTCGCAGATTACCTTCTGCTACAACGAAATTATCCCTCGTTGTAACTACCGTTAGCGGGAATCCATCATCTAAAAGTGCAAGCACACGGCTTGATTTCATCCGGATGATCCTCAAATCATCTTCTGCTACAATGGAATTATTCCTCGTTGTAACTACTATTAGCGGAAATCCATCGTCTAATAGTGCGAGTACACGACCTAGAGTATTGGACTACTAATACCCATTTATTCTAGTTAGGTTATCAAACCTAGAAGTATAAACCATTTCTCAATCAATTGACTTGTCTTAAACCACCCACTATGCACATGATGCACGTGATGACATATTTAATCACATTCAACCAAATTCGAGTACCAATCCTTCATTCTCATCCCATACTCATGGTCCAACCCACACTCGGAATTTATCCGTTGCTCACATACCAATAATGATACTCATAGCGGGAACACAACCTCCGCTCATTAATATTGTTAATTAGTTTCGTTAATATTTAAAAGAAGGTCCAAGTCCATTTACTTTAATCCAAGCCCATTAACTTTATCCTAAGTCCATTGAATTTATTCAATTCCATTTTATTTAGTCAAAGCCCATTTAGTTTATTCCAAACCCATTAATTTTGTCCAAGTCTAATTCTTTGGTTTTAGGGTTTATTACCGGGCAACTCCTAATCGAGTAAATAATTTTCCAATTTCAGAACATAATTAAATCTTACCCATTTTATTTTAGATACAAGACATATTTATTTATAACCTATCCAAAAATTAGGTCTAAATACCAAGTACATAATTAATTACAAATTTTTGAAACTTAGGGAGTAATCTGCCTAGTAGTAGTTTGTCTAGAGCTATCCATACTAAATCGGGTATAACTCTTTGTACATAAATCCAATGACCAAGAAATATTAAAGGGAGTTAGTTCAAAGATAGATGAACAACTTTTATTCTTTAAGTTTCACCTAGAAATCGATCTAAAATCCTTGAACATACACCCCAAAATTCGGACAGAATTTACTCCTTATCAACACTAATTTATTAGTTCATTCCAAGCTAACTTTAAACATGTTTTAGTTCACTTAAATTTAGTCCAAGTTCAATCCAACCCATCACCACATACTTGGACATTTTTCAAAACATCATAACATCATAAATCATCACAACAAGGCATCCATACATAGATTTATCCCAAGCATCAAGCATATAACCATGGAAAATTATTACAACCCATGAAATAAACACTAACACAATAACTTACAAAAAATAATTTAAGACATTAATCACCTTCAAAATTATAACAATGCCACAATATAGTAAAAGTAATAGTGCAAATGAGTCTTGATGAATAATAAATTGAGTTTGGGTGAATAGTGCTATAAATAAGAAAGTAAACGAGTTGGTTTTATTTTAGTGTTATTGTTAATAACATGTTATATTATATATAAAAAAAGACAATAAACAATCTACTAGTTATGTCGTTCGAATTCAATCAAAATATGAGTTAGATAACTCTTTGTTCTTGTACTATATAGAAAATATCATTGCAACCTCTTTATAGAGATATAATTCATAACAAATCTTATACTAATAGACGTTAGTGCAAAATTTCCTTTACATTAACTTTTTTTGCCAGATTGATCAATTTTCGTTAATTGACTAACCATTGACCGATCAACTGATAACAAGTGTCAACTTAAGTATAAAAATATAATTTTTTAAAATCAATTTTTTTCAAGTTTTTTAAAGTTAAAATAATTAATTATTATAATAAAAATATTTAAAATTAAAATCAAATTCGACGAAAAATTCTAAAATAATCACTTTTTTAATTTTTAATGAATTTATGATTATTATTATTAATTAATTAAATTAATTTATTTTTTTAAAATTTTTAATGATTTTATAATAATTTTTAATAAATATTTTTTTTCAAAAAAAAAATCTAAAGAAAAGTTTTAAAATATTAAAAAAAATTAATAATCAATTTTAGAAATTGAAAAAAAAATCTAAATAAAATATTAAAATAATAAGATTTTTAAAAATTTATAATGTGTTTATAATAATTATTAATAAATAAGGTTTTAAAGAAAATCTAAAGAATTTTTTTTTCAATTTTAATGATTTAATAATAATTATTAGAAAGTTTTTCATTAAAAAAATATAAAGGAAAGTTAAAAAACTAAAAAAATTTATAATGAATTTTTGTTTCAATTTGTTTTATTAAAATACTTAATAATCATTACAAATCAATAAAAATTTCTTTGGATTTTTAAAATTATTTTCTTCATTAATAATTATCATAAAATTCAGATAATTGAAGAAAATTTTCTTTTATATATATTTTTTAAATTCTTCTTTAGTATTAATTACTATAAGATCATTAAAAAATTTAATTTTTATTATTTAAAAAAATTAATTTAGAATTTTTTTCAATGTTAATAATTTAAATTTTTTAAAAATATATTTTTATTCTTAAGTTGACACTTGGATTAACCTTCAATAACACAAGGTTATTGTTATGAGCTATATATCTAGACAGAGAGGTTGCAATAATATTTTCGTGGTGTAGCACAAAAGCACATGATGTATTTAAACCATCAAAATATTTATAATCTTTTCTTAAAAACGTAATAATCTATTCATAGTTTTATTGCCAAAATCCTGAAATTGGGAAGAATGTGTGCTCTTCTAAAGGGAGTTGGACAGTTGTATTTTTTAGTGCTTCGATCCAAACTAACTTCCTTCCGAGGTTGCCTAAAAGACATGTCAAGAAACACTAGGATTAAGGGATTTATATGAACATACAGTCTCACAACCTGGACAGTTATAATATTCTGACAGAAATGGATTAGATAAAGGACTGTTAAATCAAAGAGGAAACTAACATACATATATATATACACACACTTTAATTCACCTTATAAAAGTAGATAAAGATGCGATTTACGCGTAATGGATTAGATAAAGATGCGACTTACACGTAATGGATTAGATAAAGGAGTGTTTTATCAGTTCTAGGTAAATTAAAATCTCGACAGAAATGATTTAATTTATGTGGAAGATTATAATCCATCTCCCAACACTTCCAACTTCCAGTATATTGAAAATGCAGATAATTCCTCACTTCCAACTCTCTATGCACACCAAAATAAAAGAAACGAAAATAGTCAGCTAAACAATTAATACACCCTCTTATTCACAAAAGAAAAAAAAAATTCTTTTTTACCCTATCTAAAATATCAATTGTAAGAAAACAAAATTATAATTCTGTCCCCAATAATAAATAATAAGAAAACAAAACTATAACCCTATCTAAAATCGATCAAACATCATCAGTTCAAATTGGCCCTCTTTTTCAATATCTGCTTAGGAAAATTTGAATGCCTTTTCTCATCAAAACTAGGGCTGGCAGCCGGCCGATACTCCGGCACCAGCCTTCCAGTCTTGTACCTTACACCACAAGCGTTACACAGTGTCTTCGGACCCAATGGACCAATCCTCCATTGTGGGGTGCTATCCATTCCACAATGCGTACATCTCCTTTTTGAAAAATGTACCAAACTCATTTCAGGATGATTTTCTATTGCCGGAAACATAAACTCCTTCATTGACCATGCACACTGCTTCGAAGTTCGTTTACTTCGCGGCTTCTTATTAGTAATGCCAAGTTTGCAATCGTTTAATGTAGTTTGCTTCTCCTCTTCAGAATTTCGGAAAAAATATTTTTCAACATCTTCCAACAAATTCAACTCGTTGGATGATATGAGGCCATAATAAAAATCAGGAAAAGAGGGAATACACTCAATTGGATCCTGAGGAACACAAAGTTCACTGCCTGTCCAATCAAAATCATTAAGCATCCGTAGGTCACTAATATCAAAAATATTCTCATCATCAATAGCCATAGTTGTAAAAAGGGTATAAGGCATCTATAAAGGAAGACACAAAAGGATGAATTAGATTTTTTTGGAATTATTACTGTTATATATATATAGGAGAAGAAGGGAAGGAATTTAAGGTAATTACTTAACTAATTATTGTAACCTTTTCTATTCCGAAGATAATTATCTTAGTTAAGAAGTTTTTTCTTGATATGCATGAACAAACTGACATGAGAATTTCTCTGTTGGATGTTCAAAACGGCTAGACCAACCAATAAAAATTGGACATGTATGGACAGATTAGTTTTCTAGCAAATAACAGTTGTACATGTGGCTGTATGATTTGGCAAATTTATTTTACACGTTCTTGTACTGAATTTGGATTAAGGAAGAAGTAATATTTGTAAAAAAAATCTTATCTTTTTGGTGTTTCAGGCAGCCGAGAATTCAATTGAAATAAAATTTAATTTGTACCACTTAAAGGAAAATCTCGAGAATATTCTTAGATTTTTGTGATGTTTATTATTATCAAATAAATAAAAGTACGTGCTATATTATGCATTACTCATTCTCATATCAAGATTCTTTGTGTTTTTATACAATTTATATTGAAAATTACTTGGGAATGAAGAAAAATTCATAACGGGGTTTATTAAATATTTAATTAAAATGTATGATAATGTTGCAAATTTATTTTATTTTTTTTTCAGCGTAAAAATAAGGAATTGGTCAAAAGAATTGCATCTCTTATCTATTTATTTATTTTTGTCATCACAATTGGAAACTGATTTGTCACCAGTGAAAGGAAAACTGTGCACGTATATTCTTTCACACATGGCAATTTTTCATTGGTAGGATCACGTGTGCCTCAAATTCTTGTGTTCGGCAAAACTCATATTAGCCACCCAACTATATATAGTTTCTTGATTGAGTCTCCAAACTACGGATCGCGAAATAAACAACGCACCTATTATTTACGTACATGTTTTCTAACTAACCCTAATTTCTTTGAACCTTATACAATAAATTAAATACCCAATTTTCCTCTATTTAGAGAATGTATTAGTTGTTCAATCTATTGTTATAATTGTTTTTGCATATGCTAAATGAGAGAGGATACTTGGGTATTTTGGTCCTTAATGCTTCGAAAAATTAAAAATAAATTGTATAGCATTCACATTATTTAACGCCGTTACAAGTTTATAAGTGTATATATATACATATACAATTATTTTAATGAGAGTTTTATTTGTATTGATGCTGCTTCTCCTTTTTCTTTCTTTCTTTGTTTTTTCTTTCCTACAAAAAGGTAACAACAATATTTAGCTTCTTTTTAGGATCCATATTAGGTTGTCGCCTTCCAATATATATATAAAAGAAGCATTATTAATATAATTAGCGACGGATAATAATCCGTCTCCGATTAGAGATGCATTAACGACGGATTAGTGACGAACGAGAAAATGTTTCCTTTTGCAACCGATTAGCGATAGAAAATAAGCGACGAATAAAATTCCGTGCCTAAGTTGTTACAAACTAACGCAGGAAAAAAGTGCACTAGGGTTAGCGACGGAATAACGATTGATTTTCATCACTAAATAATATGGGGTCCAAATTAGCGACAGATTGGTAATCTGTCGCTAATTTTGGCTTTTGTTCGGGAAAATTCCCCAAAATGCATCAAAATTAGCGATGGAATAGTGTCCATCGCTAATTTAGGGGATATCCCCCCCCAAAAAAAACACAAAATTAGCAATGGACAATTTGTCCGTTGCTAATTTTGAGAGAATTCGAGGGGAAATTTCCCCTAAAATTTTCAAAATTAGCGACGGATGGCTACTCCATCGCTAATCAACAAGGGATTAGTGACGGATTAGAGTTTGTCGCTAATTGTCCCGTATATACCCCCTTGCTTCTTCCCCCATTCGACTCCTCCTCACCTCCACCAAAATTTTCCCCGCTGGCCATAAAACCAATACTCACGCCACTCGAACACCACCAAGTGACTTCGAAACCATTCAACAAAGTAAGGTGCATCTTTGCCTCTCAAAATCGGACCCAATCCGTACTCTTTTTCCTTAATCTTTCGGATAAAACTTTCTCTATCTAACTCTTATGTTTTTTTTTTTTAAGTTAAATAAATTTTATAAATTTTTAGATAAATTTTATAAAATTTTAAATAAATTTTGTTATTTGTTAGTTGATTAATTATGTGAATGATGTTAATTTTTAGTTATGTTAGTATTATTGTTAATTTCTTAATTTTTTTTAATTTCATAAGCTGTTAGATTAATTTTGTTAAGTTTTATTTTTTAGTTATGTTAATTTTTAGGTTAACATAAAACTAATTTTTTTAATTATGTTGATTTTTAATTGTCACGCTAAAATTTAATTATTTAATATAATTTGAAATTAATTAATTAATTATTTGTGTTTCTTATTAGGTTAATTTAGTTATTAGTTTGTTTAACTTAATTTTGAAATTATATAATTTTTTTTACATACTTTAGTTAAATTTTGTTGATTATTTTTTAAAGATTTTTTGGATCAGTTGGTTGGTTATTTTTTTTTAATTAATTTGTTATTAGTTTGTGATATTGCGTGTCGTTTGAATTAATTACTAACTTAATTAGTTTAAATTAATTTACTGCAATTAATTTGATTCATGCATAATGATTTAATCATTTCGAAAATAAAAAAAATTGGAAAAAAATGTAATTGGAAAAAAATACAAATGTTAAAATTTAATAAATATTTTATTAATTAATAGAATTTAATAAACATTTTATTTATGTTTTATTAAATTAAATTTAGTTGAATATATTATTAAATTAATTAGATGATAATATAATTGAACATTTTTAGTTTGAAAATACATAAAATTTCATGCAATAATGTAATGAGATGATTTAGAATGACAAATCACATTTAAATTGAAAATTTAGCTTAAATTACCTAAATTAGGGTTTAGGCCCAATGAGATCCAATTTGGAGTTATGCATGTAATTGATCATCCAATGCCTAATTGAGTTAATTTAGATTTAATTGAATGAAATTATATGAAAAATTAGTGTTGAAATTGAAAAAAAAATGTTTGGTTTAGGTTATTATTCGACCTAAGGTAAAAAAATATTAAAAAAAATTACATAATAAATAATTGAATATTATAAAATTAAGTATTTAAGAAAAAAATATAATCATTCTTTAAAAAATTATTTAAATATAAAGTCAAATTCTTAAAAAAAAAATCATAACTAATTAGGGATAATTATGCAACTAATATATATGTTTAATTTTTATTTAAAATTCATAGGAGTGATGACAAGTAGTTATTTGCATTGGTTGTGTCATTTTTGCGGTAATTACAAAAATGAGATCCGATCGAGAATGGATGAATGTTAGTTAGTTAACGGATTATTAAATGATAACTTTGTCGAGGTGTAGAACAATTTATAGCTTGTCTTTGTTGAGCATCTTGAATGTATGGGCGGAATCAAAATTAAGTGTCCTTATAATTTTAGTAAGCGTTCAAATTGAAATTATGAAGAGGTTGAAATGGTAAAATATCATTTGTGTTGTAATGGTTTTGTGTCGGGATGTTATAATTGGGTACATCATAGGGAATTTGAAACCTATATGATATCTAAAAATTCTAGGAGTCGGTATGTTTCGAAAAGTATTATGTAGGCAAAGGTAGTTCCAGTGAACCCCAAAACCCATATCAAACAATGGTAATGGATGCGACTAGTCCATTATTTGATTCATCTAACATAGAGGAGGTTTCTAATCTTAGTGTCCAATACTTTTATGATATGTTAATTTCATTATGTAGAGAGATTTGACTCGGTTGTGATTAGCACTTGCTATTGTAAGTAGTTGCTCAAATGTTGAATTTAAAAGCCAAATATCATTTCTCAAAGAAGTGTTTCGATAATTTATGTGAGTTGATAAAGGAGTTGATGTTGGTTAACAACTCGTATGACATGTAATTTTTATGAAACAAAGAAGTCTGGTTAAGGGGATGGGTTTATTGATTGAAAAAATTTGTTATTGTTAGAACGGGTGCATGATTTATTGGAAGAAAGGCAATGAATTAGATAAATACGAGGTTTTGTCAACATCCTTGATATCTAAGTTCCCATCGAGGATCGAAGAGAAAAACTTATTCCAATTAAGAAAATGTGCTACTTTCCTCTAACCCCACGTCTCGGTGATTGTATGCATCTAATGTGACGATCGAACACATGACGTGGCATGTTGAGCATAGGAGAGATGATGCGGTAGTAATGTGTCATCCTTTCGATTCTATAGCATGGTAAAGTTTCAATCGGATTAATCTTTCTTTTGTAGTTGAAAGAAGGAACGTCGGATTAGGGGTGTGCACCGATGGGTTTAAACCATTTGGTCAAACCAATGCATAATATTCCTCGTAATCGGTCATTGTGACTCCATATAATTTGCCACCATGGATGTGTATGAATGAGGAATATATGTTTCTAACGGTGATTATTCTAGGTCTAATAAATCCTAATCATAAATTGGACTTTTACTTGTAACCTTTCATATCCAAGCTTATCTAGCTATGGGAAGTGGGTGTGGTGACCTACGATGTGTAAGCAAAATTTTTTATTGAAAGTCTGTAGTTATATGGACTATCGGTGACTTTCTTGCATATTCGATGTTGTCTAGTTGGAGTACTACGGGAAAACAAGCTTGTCCTTACTATATGAAAAATTTAGATGTTTTCTCTCTTCCTAATGGAAGGAAGACCTCTTGGTTTGACAATCACCGTCAGTTGTTTCCTCATAATCATCCATATAGAAGAAACAAAAAAGCAATCACTACAAAAAAGTTATTAAATCTAGCCCTCCTTCAATCCGATCAAGAGTAAAGATGTTACATATGGTAGAACGAGTGGAGTTGTTGAAGGTGATAAAAGATGGTGCAGATGATCATAATAGTAGAATATCTCAAATGTGTGCATGGAGGAAGTGGAGTATTTTTTGGGATTTGCCTTATTAGAGTACAAATCTCATTTGGCACAATTT